GGGGGATAGCTTGAGGCTCTGTCTCAAAAAAAAAAAAAAAATTCAAAGTGAAATATCTAGGTTGCATATTTAAAGCTAAGCAAAATTAAAAAGTTTCTAATTTAGGCCAGGTGGAGTGGCTCTTGCCTATAAGCCCATCCCTTTGAGATGTCAAGGCAAGAGGATCACTCCAAGTCAGGAGTTAAAATAACAGCCTGGGCAATAAATAAAATTTTTTTTATCTCAAGAAAAAATTAAAAAATCAGCTGGGCATGGTATACCTATAGTCCCAGCTACTTCAGAGGCTGAGACAGGAAGATTGCTTAAGCTGAGGCACTGGACGCTACAGTGAGCTATAATTGCACCACTGCACGCTATCCCAGGCAAAAGACATATGCATAAATACAAATATATGCCATTTAAATGCAAAACTGTGTTGTACCTATTAATTTTCTTTTTTGTGAGACAGTCTCACTTTTTTACCCCTGGCATAGTGCCATGGCGTCATAGCTTACAGCAACTTCAAACTCTTGGGCTTAAGCGATTCTCTTGCCTTAGCCTCCCAAGCAGTAGGACCACAGGAGCCCACCACAACACCCAGCTAGTTTTTAGAGACAAGGTTTCACTCTGGCCCAGACAGGTCTCGAACTTGCAAGTTCAGGCAATGGACCCTCCTCAGCCTTCCAAGTGCTGGGGTAACAGGCGTGAGCCACTGCGTCCAGCCTAATTTTCTTTAATATAGCATTTTAATTTTCTTTTTCTTTGCATTCCCATCCTGTGCTTCCTCCTACACCAATGTCACTCATATTAACTTCCTGGAATGTATCTTCCCACATTTTCCTTTAAGATCAATAAAACATAAAAATACATGTATACATACATGGATTATATGTATAAATATATGTACATATATATAATATGTTTGTTACATACACAAATGGATTGGGTTTTTGTAGGGTATTTTTTTTTTGAGAGAGAAAGAGTTGACCTGGGTAGAGTGCCATGGTATCACACCCAGTGGCTGGGACTACAGGCACCCATGACAACACCCAGCTAGTTTTTCCATTTTTAGTGGAGATGGGGTCTTATTCTTGCTCAGTCTGATATGGAACTCCTGAGCCTGAGTAATCCACCAACCTGAACCTCCCAGAGTGCTGGATTACAGGATGAGCCAACCCACATGGCCAGTTTTGATTTGTTTTGTTTTTGAGAGAGACAGAGTCTTGCTCTGTCCCTTGGTAGAGGGCTATGGTGTCACTGTAGCTCACACCAACCTCAAACACATGGGCTCAAGCAATCCTTCTCCCTCAGCCTCATGAGTAGAGGAGACTACAGACATAAGTGATAATGCCCGACTAATTTTTCTATTCTTTGTAGGGACAGGCTAGTCTGAAATTCTTAAGTGCAAGTGATACTCCTCTCTTGGCCTAAACGAGTAGTATGATTATAGATGTGAGTATCCATGCCCAGCCTGAATTGTTTTTATGTAATTATTTTTTAACTTTTATAAAAATCAGATCAGAAATATTACTTCCCTCTCTAAAGCATTCAAGCTGCCATTTTCACAAAACATTCTAATCTTACAGTGAACTGTTACACATTTTAAAATATGGTTTAGGCTTAGCGCCTATGGCTCAAGTGGTTAAGGCGCCAGTCACATACACCTAAGGTGGTGGGTTCGAATCCAGCCTGGGCCTGCCAAACAACGACGGCTGCAACCAAAAAAAAAAAAAAAAATAGCCAGGCGTTATGGAGGGCGCCTGTGGTCCCAGCTACTTGGGAGGCTGAGGCAGGAGACTCGCTTGAGCCCAGGAGTTGCTGTGAGTTGTGATGCCACAGCACTCTATCCAGGGGGACAGCTTGAGGTTCTGTCTCAAAAAAAAAAAAAAATTAAAACATGGTTTAAGGATTTGGTTTATTTCAGGGCAGGGCGTGACAGCTCATGTCTATAATCCTAACACTCCGGGCGTTAGAGGTGAGAGGACTGCCTGAGCTCAGGAGTCCATGACCAGCTAGGGCAACAGTGAGACTCTGTCTCTATTAAAAATAGAAAAATTAGCCAGGTGTGGTGGTACATGCCTGTAATCCCAGCTAATTGGGCATTTGCAGTTGCGGTGAGATGTAATGACGTCACTCTGGGTGACAGAGTTAGATTGTCTCAAAAAGAGTTTATTTCTAGAATATCTAAATAGCCACTGTATGTGTGACCCATGGTCTGCTTTTGTACTAAACTGCCCATGAACTAAAAATTTTTAGATTTTTATACAGATATAAATATACACAGACACATGCACAGACACAAAGAAGGAGAAAAAAAGTATGTGAGAGAGACCGTAAGTGGCTACAATTTTTAGTCCTTGGCCTTTTACAAAAAAAAAAGCTTAACTCCTCAGAATGCTCAGGTTATAAGAATAAATGCTGACTAGATGCGGTGGCTCATACCTGTGGTCCCAGCTAATTGGGAGGCTAAGGGAAGAGAATCTTAATTTAAGCCCAGGAGTTGGAGACTGTAGTGGGGTATCATGGCAACACTGAACTCTAGCCTGGGTGACAAAGTGAGACTCTGTCTCCATTAAAAATAGAATAATATGGCTTGGCACCTATGGCTCAAGTGGCTAAGGAGCCAGCCACATACACCCAAAGTGGTGGGTTCGAATCCAGCCCAGGCCTGCCAAACAAGAATGACGTCTGCAACCAAAAATTAGCTGGGCATTGTGGAGGGTGCCCGGGGTCCCAGCTACTTGGGAGGCTGAGGTAGGAGACTCGCTTGAGCCCAGGAGTTGGAGGTTGCTGTAAGCTGTGATGCCATGGCACTCTACCCAGGGGGACAGTGTGAGGCTCCTGTCCCAGGAAAAAAAAAAAAAAAGAATAAATGTCATCACTACTTAGTAGCTGTAACCTTGGGTAAGTGACTAAACTTACATGTACCTGAATTCTTCTTATCTACAAAATAAAGTAATAATTTCTATCTCAGATGAAACAATGTTATATGTAAAGCACTTAAAACAGATACTAAGTCTTCCATAAATGCAGGCTATTACTATTAATGCTATCATTGCTTCATTATGCAATGCACAGGGCTGGAAAAATCAAATACTATATATCATGATCAATATCTCTAACAACAGAATATTCTACTGCATTCAGAAAGAAAGTGTTAGAACTATACAGTGACCAGAATAAAACTGAGTCAAAAAACCAAATAACGTATGTGTGTATATATATGCATGCATGTGTGACACAGGGGGCTGGTAAGTGTAAGAGATGGATATATTTTATGATCCCCTTTTTTGTGTGTGTGTGCAGTTTTTGGCCAGGGCCGAGTTTAAATCTGCCACCTCCGGTATATGGGGTCGGCGTCCTACTCCTCTGAGCCACAGGCGGTGCCCTGTCACCCCCATGTTTTTATTTTCAAAAACAATGAGAATATAGATGGTAGCTAACACTCGTCATCCTAGCACTCCAGGAGGCTGAGGCGGGTGGATTGCCTGAGCTCAAGAGTTTGACATCAGACTGAGCAAAATCGAGATCATGTCTCTAAAAATAGCTGGAAGAAAGGATGCAGTGGCTCACACCTGTAATTCTAGCACTCTGGGAGGCCAAGGCAGGCAGATTCCTTAAGCCTGAGCAAGACTGAGACCCCTTCTCTAAAAAACAGCTGGGCAATGGGCGGCACCTGTGGTTCTGTGAGTAGGGCACCGGCCCCATATACCAGGGGTGGCGGGTTCAAACCCAGCCCTGGCCAAACTGCAACAAAAAAACAGCCGGGCATTGTGGCGGGCTCCTGTAGTCCCAGCTACTCGGGAGGCTGAGGCAAGAGAATCACCTAAGCCCAAGAGCTGGAGGTTGCTGTGAG